GGGTACAAGTGTGATTAAATGTGTGTTTTAAACATGCATCAGTTTTTCCGGTGAGGGTTTTGGTTCAGTTTTTATAACCACAGCTGTATATAAAAAAATACTAGCAGTGTATGGCATGCCCTCATTTAATGTGTGTTTGTGTGTGTATGAAACCACAGAGTGATGAACACACACCTCAGAGTAGCTGCTCTGAGAAGACGAACGGATCTGGAAAACACAAGAAGAACAAACAAGAACAGACAACGGATCAAACACATTAAAAGAGATGAAAGACACCGCTGAGCATTAAAGAGACGCTTCATTCACATCTGTCTGCTCTTCACTGATGCTCAATTTAATGCAAATTAATGTAAAGAATAAAAGAGCTTGGCATAACAACCTTGTCAAATTGATCAATTTATTTTTATAATCTGACAGACAAAGGAAAATGTATATTATTTTTTTATTATTATTATTTACTCATATATATTTATTTAATATTATTATATATTTATATATAAATACAAAGGTTCATAAGCATTTGGACAGCAACACGATGGATTTGAAATGAACAGGATGTGCTTTACCTGCAGTCCGTCAGCTTTAATTTGAGGATGTTTACATCCACATCAGGTGAACGCTGTAGGAATTACAACAGTTCGCATATGTGCTTCCCACTTGTTAAGGGTCCAAAAGTAATGGGGCAGAATAATAATCATAAATCAAAGTTTCACTTTTTAATATTTGGTTGCAAATCCTTCAGTCAATTCAGCCTGAAGTCTGGAACACAGAGACATCAGCAGACGCTGGGTTTCATTCCCGACGGTGCTCTGTCAGGCCTCTACAGCAACTGTCTTCAGTTCCTGCTTGGTCTTGGGGCAATTTCCCCTCAGTTTTGTCTTCAGCATGTGAAATGCAAGCTCAATCGGATTCAAGTCAGGTGATTGACTTGGCCATTGCATACCATTTCACTTCTTTCCTCTAAAAAACTCTTTGGTTGCTTTTTGATGGATGCTTTGGGTCATTCTCCATCTGCTCAA